ATGTACCGGAACTACAAGTCATACTGCATATGTACATGGAGATTAGTGTACTCGAACAACCATGAATAAGAAATATTATTCAATTTGCACGCATGACATGACGTGTCCCACTTACATATAAGTAAAGTAGAGCTAATTTGAAGCTGTTCTTGTTCCAAACGAAACATTATACATATTATAGCAACTTGCATTATGGGGGATTTTGGATTTTTTTGTGTGTATTTTTCGTTAAGATATATTGTACCTTAAAGTAATGAACAAATGTGGACGGTAAAGAACAGAGGAGCCAGCTATAGGTACATGGATACGTTTTCTACAGGTTGTTTGATCATAAACAACAATCTGGTTGTCTCTCAGAATTCATTATCATCTCGCGGACTGAGAGAAGATTCTGCATTTTGTTTCCGCTGATATTAATTGCTGTAATATGATTCCAGGGCCAATAATGCGCTCAATATATCATTCAAATAAAATTAATGTTGATTAAAAGTCCGTAGGACTGCGTCAGATGGAACCATGTGTTCGGAACAGTTTGTGGCTGGGTGAACGACCAACAAAGGCTATGGTGACCAACAAGCTTAGCGTACGGTACAGTGACCCGTTTCCTTGCTAGAGTGACCAATAATGTACAGAATGCTAATTATATGACGCGATGATCATGACTTGTCTCCGTTTTCCTGGCTAGGGTTATCATAAGGTAAGACGACGCAGTGACTTTCCTCCGTTTTTCCTGGCTAGGGTTACCATTAGTTAAGACGACGTAGTGACGTTTCTCTGATTTTTCTGGCTAGGGTTACCATTAAGTAAGACGACGTAGTGACGTGTCTCCGTTTTTCCTGGCTAGGGTTACCATTAGGTAAGACGACGTAGTGACGTTTCTCTAATTTCTTGGCTAGGGTTACCATTGAGGAAGATGACGCAGTGACGTGTCTCTGATTTTTCTGGTTAGGGTTACCATTTAGTAGGACGACATAGTAACGTGTCTCAGTTTTTCTTGGCTATATGATCTATTTGAATGACACAGCTTTGCAAGGAAATATCATTTGTTTGCCTGCATAGCTGTGTCATTCAAATAGATCATAAAAACATACAAAAACAATTCAATACTTAATACAATTTATATCTAAAATTAAAATTTCCGCCTTATCGACAGTCCACACAAAATTGTACAATAGTAAGAACAGCGTGTTGTTGCGTGCTGATTGGCAAACAAAGTACACTTCAATTTCATTCCACAATTAAGTATCAATACAATTGCGTATGATACAATTTGTATGTCTTATATGGTGATTTAAGTTTATCAATAGAAATCTGAGCTGAAAGTTAGATTTGAAATTGTTTCGATTTTCAGAACAAATTTTGCGTAACACCGTAATCCGACCTTGCCCTCCACGAAGGAGTTATTTTTGGAAGTTGAATGAGCAGAGAGAAAGTTCGAATTTGTGGAGAATCCAGGCGTGAATTTATTTGTTGATTGTATGGGAACCTGACTACAGTCGGTAGATTCTACAACGGCCTCTTTATTCGACATGTCGTCAGAAACTGAGGAAACCGTGACTGAGAAACGCGTGATACTGATAGCGTTTGAAGCGTGTGATCTTGCGACAGAGCACAGGGGTTCGTTACAAATGTTTGAAATATACATATGCCTTGTGTATGTTTATGTGTGTTGTGACTCATATCAGTAGGTCTATAGCATATGTGTATTTCAGACATTTGTAACGAACCCATGTGGATCAGTGCAGTGTAACAAATGATATTTCTGATAGTTTGCATGATTGTTAACATTGTTTCCATTGGTTATTTCAACCGGGCGATGTGCATTTTGTACGATATTGTAGACCTTGCTCTGTTTTTTTGGTTGTAATATTTTTTATTTTATTTTTTTCACACATTTACAATTACATTGTCAAGTCTCACAATGCCCAACGATATTTCATCAGCCGTCATGTTTGTTTACATTGGATATTGAAGTTCCGGTCGGTGTTGTATTATTACGCTAATAATTATGTCTCGTGGTGCATTGTATTTAAAGTCCCATCAACGACACAGCTTCCAAAACGACTATATAGTAACGATGCCATGCAAATGTAAATAGTATTCAGTGAATGTCAAGCTAGAGGCAGTGTTAGTCAACAACGCTGACGTCATATTAATGATGACGTCAACAATCGGGTCTTGGCAATCATACATATTACATTTTAGTAGCTTGTGGTATTGTCGTACGATGTTAAATATATGTTACCACACACACGTTTATAAACACATGTTGGTAAACACATGCCAAGAAATAAATAGGAAATGTCAGAACATGTCAGCAGACAAATGAAGATAGAGACCTAATATACTGGCCGATGTTTGTGACTGTTACGTATTGTATCACGCTTGTATATGTACAGTAATGTACATGTTGATAATTGTACGGGGAAAAATGCACTTTTTATCTGAAGCTATTGATTGCCTTTGTCCTGTTAGTTGTCAGTCCATTGTAATACTACCTACATTGGTCAGTAAGTGACCACTATGACGTTAAACCCCAGCGCTGATACCAATAAGACGTTAACGTTATTGCGGGTCCATTTCGCTTCCTGAGATGTAGTCAGCAAACGACCCGTTACCTATATGTCTACCTAACGATATCTGATCACTAAATGTCGCTTCACTCCATAAAACAAAATTGACAAGAAACGGACTACTGAGCTCTCTAATGATATACAGTTTCTAGACAAAAAGGAGGACATGATCGAAAACTGAATTACAGTTCTTGATTTTTCCTTCCTTCAAAGCCAGTATTTACCATTTACTATAGTATCCGGCTACTAAATATATAATTGTAACTCTACGATCTGGTTTAAATGTACTTCTTATATATTATCTGTATGGCATCTTTAACGTTTGTACATAAACTATAGAAGGTTGTCTAAAACTTCGGATGGATAATAGTGTCCTTTTTGAATGTTAAATAGGTTATATGGCAATGTGTTCACGGACCTTATAAGCATTGCCTTGCTCTAGCGCTTTACGTATCCCAAACCTTTCTCATCACCCCTTCCCAGTTCCCGCCCCACCTCATGCACCCTCCCTTTATATCTTGGATACGATAGCATCCTCTACTAAATCACGATCTGAGAGGTGGTTTCCATGCCTCTTACACCAAACGAGATTGCGTGTGACTTGATTGCGGATTTGTGTTAAAGAAATTATTGATTGGCCATTGCAAAGCTCTTAAAATACAGACATAAACTTCCCGGTAAGTCCACTTGCTCGTTTAGACCATTATCTATAAAGATTTTGTTGTCAGACCGTTTGATGTAGTAAGGCATATACATCTTAAATACGTCGGGGTGAGGCGGGGGATGTTTGACCAAAGCTTAAATAAACCCTGTCCAATAGTTATGTATATGATAATCATCGTCGTCGTAGTCATTATCATCATCATCATCATCATCATCATCATCATCATCATCATCATCATCATCATCATCATCATCATCATCATCATCATCATCATCACATCATCATCATCATCATCATCATCATCATCATCACAGCATCATCATCATCATCATCATCATGCTACCATGGATCAATCGTTAGAGGCGTCTTGGGGGAAATAAATGTTCTGCTTCCTTCCTGGCAACACTTTGGACTTTATCTTACTCTATCTTTCGGCGTTGTCTCCCTAGACACTCGTGGTTTACTCGTTTTCAGAATAATGACCAGGTGGAGCGCGATACAACCCTGTATGCAATATATATGTGTATCGTAGCATTATAACTATTTACTAGTGTGATACCTTATAGTGGAACTCTCTAATGTGGAGAGTGAATAAAGGACTTCCTGTTTTGACCTCATGGCGTCTAGTCCCAGTTTATTACACGGTGTCAGTAATCTGAAAAGATCGGCCTTTCCAAACATGTTTTGTACAAAAATAAGTGTGTAGACATTACAGTAAGACTTTGCTTTACGTTTCCAAACAGAGGTTAAGGATGGCAAACAACGGGGTAAGACATTTACCAGAGTTTAATCTGAGTGATCCCAGTACAGGGGCTCCGTAATGGGAACAATACAAACGGAATATTATTATACATCTAGACGCACTAGGACTGGATGACAAGCCAGGTCGACGAAAGGTAGGAGTCTTGTTATCTAACATGGGAAGAGAATCGGTGAAAATTTACGATTCGTTTGTATGGGCCCAAGCCGTGGAGGCTGACGCGGCAAACAACATAGCTGCACAACTTGGGGAAGACAAATACAATCTAGATAAAGTGTTCGCTTAATTTGACAGGCATTTTGGTGTACATACATACAGGAACATTAAGCGGCAAGAGTTTTTAAACACAAAGGGAAGCACACTGTCTATTATGGATTATATAGCCACGTTAAAACGAAAGGCTGAACACTGCCAACATGGCGAACAGAAAGAGGGTTTCATTTGTGATATGATCATCAATGAAATAAATGACCGGAAGTGTTTCGAAAAGCTGATGGAGATACCCGCACAGCAATTAACACTCGAGAAGGTTATACAAACTTGTCGACAAGTAGAATTAATGGCGGCACATTTGAAGTCATCAGGTGCTGAAAACCCTAATGTCAACATGGCATACTCCAGTCACGGACCGAGACACGGCGGACAAAACCGACCACACAGGAGTCAAGGTTACAAGGGAAACAACCCGTACTGTAAAAAGTGTTGTAGACATCATGAATACCAACGTTGTCCGGCATACAATAAACAGTGTGACAATTGTGGGCAAAGTGGACATTTTAAACAATCTGATCTATGCAGAGGGAACGCAAATCAGCATGGTGCAACCCATGGCACATACAGACTAGCTAACCGTGGTACGTACAGGAGTGCAGGTAAAAGCGGACGTGGTAATTTCGTGCGTCGCGGACAAGGATATAACGCGCGAGGACGCGGTAACAGATCAAGGATGAACGTACATTATGCCGATGAGGAGCACGAAAACGACGATGGCGGATAAAACAACATGTTCGACCAATGCACAGTGCACGACGTGTTTACAACGGACACTGACGATTCACATGAGGACTGCGAGTGGAAAGTAGCGCTCGACGTAACTGGCAAGAAACTTACAGTTGAGATCGACAGTGGAGCACGGTGTAATGTGGTGTCCAAGAACACTGCGGAGGCATTCCAATCTGTGTCTGCGATACAACAAAGCGATGCGATAATAAATGGGGTGAGCGGCAAACCGATGAAGGCTTTCGGGAAAATAAATTTACCGTGTGCGTACAAAAATATCAAGCGTGACGTGGAATTTCAAGTGCTCGACATTCGACGGAACGTGAATTTGCTAGGACGCGACGAGTGTACGCGCTTCGGGTTGATTGCGAGAATTAACAGTGTACAGCTCACCACCGATGATATACTCAGCGAATATAGTGACGTAGTTGGAGACGAGATCGGTTGTATTCCAGGCAACTATGAAATTAAAATCGACGAAACAGTGCAACCCGTAGTTCAAGCGCCGAGACCGGTACCCGCTGCGATTCGTAATCAAGTCGAAAAGGAACTTAACAATCTTCAAAAATGTGGAATAATCGCTTCCGTTACTGAACCAACCGCTTGGGTAAACAGTTTGGTATGTGTGCGAAAGAAAAACGGCAGGGTAAGTATCGACCCAACCGACCTAAACAAAGCTGTACAACGAGAACATTACCCGATGAATGGCATAGATGATGTTGTCACCGGAGTGCATGGCAGCAAGTATTTCTCCACCGTTGACGCGAACAAGGGATATTATCAAATCCGGTTAACCGAAAGGAGTTCATATCTGACAACATTCAACACGCCCTTCGGACGCTTCCGATATCTACGTTTACCAATGGGACTGAAATGCGCAGGAGAAGTATTCCAGCGGGAAATGGTAAATCATTTCGGCAGTTTGGATGGAGTCGAGGTCGTAGTAGACGACATGTTGATTTACGGCAAAATATTGGAGGAACACAACGCAAGACTTCGGAAAGTCCTTGATAAGGCACGGACAATCAACTTGAAACTAAACAAAGGAAAGTGTGTCCTGACTCAACCGGAAGTTGATTATGTGGGTCACCGTGTAACCGGCGAAGGACTCAAACCGACCGAAAAACGCATTGAGGCCATTGTACACATGAAGGATCCAGAAAACCACAGTGAGTTGGAAACCATCTTAGGCATGCTTGCCTACGTATCTAAGTTCATACCTAATCTAAGTGAGCTAAACGCGCCACTTTGAGAGGTGCAGAAACGCGAATGGAACTGGGACGAGGACGCGAAACGCGCTTTCAAGAACGTAAAATCGGCGTTGGCTTCAACAAAAGTGCTTAAGTACTATAACGTTAACAAATCAGTGAAAGTTACAGTAGACGCCTCCATGAAAGGAGTGGGTGCTGCGTTCATTCAAGAAGATGGAGTCGTCGCATATGCGTTACGAGTACTGTCGCCAGCCGAACAGAGATATGCTCAAATTGAGAAGGAGATGTGGGCAGTAGTGTTTGGTTGCGAACGTTTCCATAAACTATTATACGGAAAATCTGACGTCGTCGTCGAGTCAGACCACAAGCCACTGGAAAACATTATGCGTAAACCGATACATGCCGCGCCGATGAGAATACAACGCATGATGCTCAAGCTACAGCCATACGAGTTTACGCTAGTACACGTAAAAGGAAAGAACATTGGCCTGGCGGACTGTCTTAGCAGGCTACCGTGCCGTTAGATGAAACCGGTGAACAACCCATAGATGACGACATGATGGTTTTCGCGGCAGAGACGTTAACCTGCTGCAACCATGACGAGATCGCGGAAGCTACGCGGAACGACGAACAAATCAAAATCTTGAAACAGGTTATCAGCCAAGGGTGGCCAGAGTCCAGAGGTGACGTACCGCTAGAGGCGTGACCATACTGGGATTACCGAGACGAATTATCGACCTACGACGGAGTCGTGTAACGTGGAGAACGGACGTGCATTCCCACCGAACTAAGGGCAGCAACGCTCAAACTTGTACACAGTTCTCACATGGGCATAATCAAATGCAAGCAAAGAACCAGGGAACTTGTTTTTTGGCCAGGGATGAGTAAACAAATCGAAGACAATGTAAGCAGGTGTAGCGCGTGTCTCGAACACCGAAACAAGGCACCAATGGTAATCCAACCGATTCCGTCACTTCCCTGGAGTAAAGTCGCAACGGATCTTTGTGAGCTTGACGGGAACCATCATCTTGTTATGGTGGATTATTTTTCGAATTTTATAGAGGTCGCTCCGCGGAAACGTAACACAAGGACGAGCGTGGTCGTAAAAGGTCCACAGTTTACTAGCGCCGAATTTCGAGAATTTACTTCTAAATACGGCATCAACAACGTGACGTCATCACCTCTACATCAACAAGTCAATGGCCTTGCCGAGAAGGATGTACAGACAGTGAAAAACGTTAAACGAAAATGTGCAGAAAGTGGAGACGACATATACCTAAGTTTGTTGGAGCTTAGGAACACCCCGCGTGACAGGGATATCGGATCGCCCATGCAGCGACCAATGGGTAGACGAGGGAAAACTCTTCTGCCAATGACTAACAACCTGCGGAAACCTGCTATTTCCGATCCCGAGAAAGTATCTTCGAAACTGCTTAACCACCGACATAGGCAGAAAGACTATTACGATAGAGGCACTAAAGCGAAAGAGGAAATTCAACCGACTGACACGATACGCATACGGATCGAAACTGGGTGTAAACCTGCTGAACTCGTGTGGAAAACGAATGACCCCCGATCATACGTCGTAAAGGCCGGGGACAGCGCGCGTGAATATCGACGCAATACCAGAATGTTGATGAAGACCAAATAGGAGCCACATGCTATCGAAGCTAAGGAACATTCGCATTACGCACCAATGTTTCCTGAAAGGGACGATCGCCCAGTCGATAACTGTCCGATTACTCCGAATGATGTCAGTGCGCGTCGGTCAACCACAAGCATAAATTCACAGGAGACTGTTCAGCCACCAGTGCCGAAGTGTGTCTCGCCACCTAAATCACGATGTGGCAGAGAGATCAGGAAACCCAAACGTTTTGCTGACTTTGTTTAAAATGAAGTTTTTAGTTATAGTTTAGTAAGACAGCAAAGGACATTTTAAAGTAGGTAAGGTAAGATGCTTTGTGTTATAAGGGCAAAAACTCCTTTTTGCATCTTAAAGACAAAAATAGATCTATTCATCACGTTACACATGTTTGTTAATTATGTCAGTAATTATTTTTTATTCTATGTCAGTTTTAATTTTCTAGTCAAAGCTTTAAATAAGCTAGATTTTCTAGTCATAATGTTATCATCTCATTCATAACATAAAAAAAATCATGTATTTAAAAAAGACCAGTAAGATCTTTCAATAAAAAACATTAACGAAAGAGGATGCAATATATATGTGTACCGTAGCATTATAACTATTTACTAGTGTGATACCTTATAGTGGAACTCTCTAATGTGGAGAATGAATAAAGGACTTCCTGTTTTGACTGGGGTACAGTGATAGGGTACACTTCTATTCGGTACGTATAACATATCTCACAGAGCGACTGGGGTACAGTGATAGGGTACACCTCTATTCGGTACGTATTACATATCTCACAGAGTGAATGGGGTACAGTGATAGGGTACACCTCTATTCGGTACATATTACATATCTCACAGAGTGAATGGGATACAGCGATAGGGTACACCTCTATTCGGTACGTATTACATATCTCACAGAGTGATTAGGGTACAGTGATAAGGTACACCTCTATTCGGTACGTATTACATATCTCACAGAGTGAATGGGGTACACTGATAGGGTACACCTCTATTCGGTACGTATTACATATCTCACAGATAAACTGGGGTACAGTGATAGGGTACACCTCTATTCGGTACGTACATATTACATATCTCACAGAGTCAATGGGGTACAGTGATAGGGTACACCTCTTTTCGGTACGTATTACATATCTCACAGAGTGACTAGGATACAGTAAGAGGGTACACCTCCATTCGGTACGTATTACATATCTCACAGAGTGACTGGGGTACAGTGATAAGGTACACCTCTATTCGGTACGTATTACATATCTCACAGAGTTAATGGGGTACAGTGATAGAGTACACCTCTATTCGGTACGTATTACATATCTCACAGAGTGAATTGGTTACAGTGATAGGGTACACTTCTATTCGGTACGTATTACATATCTCACAGAGTGACTGGGGTACAGTGATAGATTACACCTCTATTCGGTACGAGGGGACGGATTTGGAGGTACTTTAGAACAGCTTTACTGACATATTTGGTAGATAAAGCGGGAGACTGTGCTATTGTCTACCTTCGAAAACGTATAGGGGGCAAGTTTAATGGCAGATTTTCATCAAAAGCACAAATCACTTCCCCGCTCTATCTTGCTAGATTTGGAGTGTTTAGTACCATAACAATTTCAAGAAAACTCAGTGCATCATGGAAGTTTTAAAACCGGCATGTGTCTAATTAATTAGTTAGTACGGGGAACGGCTTTAGTCATGCTAGGTTCCCACTGTCGTGCGATCCGTTACGAACGCAACGATTGGCCATTCATAGCCGATCGTGGAATTTCTCTGAAATTTCAGGTTTAGATACGATTGTTGCGCTCGGATACGATCTGGTCACGTTTGTCAATTTCAGGTATCACAATCTGTCACGGTCTGATCTCCCGTTCAGGTACGATCACATACGTTCCGATAGGATTGTTTTGATCGAGTCCACCACTGGGTCTCGATCTGACAAGATCATCACGATCGGGCTCTCTGAATTGGGACGATCTGGTACGTGCAGATATGTTCCGATACGTTCATCATGAACCGATGCGCTCCCTTACGATAGGATACGATTGTGGTCTCGATGTCTTTCACGATCATGATCGATGGGGATCACGATTTAAGCTACGACTTGACACAGTATATAAAATGCCCGACTGACCATGGAATATAGCTTGATATATATATATATATATATATTGAGATAAGTTACAAATGCTGACGGTAATGACAGTATATCTGTTATAAATGATGACGGTAATGACATTATATCTCTTACAAATGATGACATTATATCTCTTACAAATGATGACATTGTATCTGTTATAAATGATGACGATGATGACTTTATATCTCTTACAAATGATGACATTATATCTGATACAAATGATGACATTGTATCTGTTACAAATGATGACGATGATGACATTGTATCTGTTATAAATGATGACGATGATGACATTATATCTCTTACAAATGATGACTTTGTATCTGTTATAAATGATGACGATGATGACATTATATCTCTTACAAATGATGACATTATATCTGATACAAATGATGACATTGTATCTGTTACAAATGATGACGATGATGACATTGTATCTATTATAAATGATGACGGTAATGATATTATATCTGTTATAAATGATGACGATGATGGCATTGTATCTATTATAAATGATGACGGTAATGACTTTATATCTCTTACAAATGATGACATTATATCTCTTACAAATGATGACATTATATCTGATACAAATGATGACATTGTATCTGTTACAAATGATGACGATGATGACATTGCATCTCTCACAAATGATGACATTATATCTCTTACAAATGATGACATTATATCTCTTACAAATGATGACATTGTATCTGTTACAAATGATGACGATGATGACATTGTATCTGTTACAAATGATGACGATGATGACATTGTATCTCTCACAAATGATGACATTATATCTCTTACAAATGATGACATTATATCTGTTACAAATGATGACGATGATGACATTGTATCTGTTATAAATGATGACGATGATGGCATTGTATCTGTTACAAATGATGACGGTAATGACTTTATATCTCTTACAAATGATGACATTATATCTCTTACAAATGATGACATTGTATCTGTTACAAATGATGACGATGATGACATTGCATCTCTCACAAATGATGACATTATATCTCTTACAAATGATGACATTATATCTGTTACAAATGATGACGATGATGACATTGTATCTCTTACAAATGATGACGATGATGACATTGTATCTGTTACAAACGATGACGATGATGACATTGTATCTGTTACAAATGATGACGATGATGACATTGTATCTGTTACAAATGATGACGATGATGACATTGTATCTGTTACAAATGATGACGATGATGACATTGT